TCTTATCAATATCTGATCGCACGCAGTGTCGACGAAGCCCAAGCCAAATCCACCCCGGTTAAAACTTACTCAGAGGCCGTATCGGCGTCCGAAGGAACTCGCTCCGAACCGAGCAAGACTGTTAAATCTACCGCGAGAAAACCGAAGAAACAATACAAAAGTCCGGAAGTCGTACCGTCGGAGTGGGACCGCGATTCCGTGAACTCTACAAAATCAGATAAGCCTAGAACGACTGCAAAAGACACAACAAACCAAGAAAAGGATATTGTGGGTAAAGAGGTCCGGACTAATAAACCAAAGGTCGAAAAGCGCACATCTGAAGCCACTACCACTAAAGTGAAGTCGACTGAAGGAGTTACCGCTGTCAAGCCTAAGGATCCGATACCGAGTGTCGATCCGTTCAAGAGTGTCGAAAAGGTCTCCAAGCTCATCGATAAAGACTCGATCAGTCACCTTTCCTTCAAGAAAAACGATCGAGTTGATTCGATAGGTTCAGAACAAGGCCGTATCGGTAACCTCCAGGGTATTGCCTTGTTGACTAAAGACCTTACTGAGGACAGATCAAAAACCGCTTCCGATCAAGGTTCAGCGTCCAAGACTTTACCCGACAACGTTTCCAGTGCAGCGATAACGCTGTTGAACGGTGGACAGACCTTTAACAGACCAATCAGCCAATCGACCCAGAAGAAACTAGATAATTATTTCATTCCTCAGGGTCGTACAGGCAGATCGGTATCCTCTCGCTCGTCCGATCACCCAAACAGCTCTGCTCCCTCAGAATCTTATCAACCTAGCGAAGGCAGTGATCTAGACATCATTACTGGTTCGTTTAGATCACTCATTATTTGACAGGAACCTTTGTAATTCTGAGAATCTATTACTTATTTTAACCATGTCTCGTACCAGGAGCCACCGCCCAACTCTGGTCGAAGCCCAAGATCTCACCGGTGCCCCTAGGGGACAACATTCTACTAAGATATTGTCCAGCGCTTCATCCGCTTCTTCAAGCGGTGAAGCTCAATCGAGAATATTATCGAAAAGCGGAGAGGAAAAACGACAAAGCCATGAAGATCGTAGCTCTCCGAGCAGCAGCGGGACTCCAGAACGATTTGTCAGTCTCCATGAACAAGGAGGAATTCATCAAGGTCTTCAATTGGGATCCGATGTCGGAATTTGACGAATTCCAGAAAGGCGAGAAGGGTCAAGCATTCCTGAACAACGGGAAGTTAGCGGTGACACCCACTCCACCTCCAGAAGTACAGATGACTCCCCCAGAGTTCGATACGAATCTGAATCAACGATTGGATTACCAACGGGAGAGCTACCATCCTCATCAACCGGAGGTATACCAACCTCAACAACAGATGTTTTACCACCAGAACGGGTATTATTATCCGTACCCTCCAGCAAATCCTTACTGGCATCAGACGACTTACAATCAAAACGGATCGACTTATCCGCAACACCATCCACCACCTCAGCAGTGGAACGAGTCAAGTCAAGTTCATCAAACAGAGGCAACGGTTCCGCAACCGCTACCAGAGAAGAACGAAATGCCGAATCACGACAAGAACGAGCATTTCCAAAAGAGGAAGAAAAACAACAAAAGCAAGGAAGCTTCGAAGAAACCAAACTGGGTACCACCAGTAAATCCCAATCGAGCTCCTCGCTACTCGAGCGCAGCAAGCGCGAGGGAACAACGTCAAAGGTCTTACCAACTTTCGATACATCAGGAGATGATAAGACTCAACAGGACAACTCAAGCTCAATATCAGGCGCTAGAGTCCATGCGAAGTCAGAACGCAGGAGTCGCGAATCGTCGTCGACTCCAAGGGGAAGATCAGACTCAAAGAAATTAACAGCTGACGAGTTAGTACCCATCTTACAAAAACTTTTTCTAAGCATAGAGAAGATTGTAGATAATAATGTGGCTATGTTGTCCAAACAGATTAACTCAGATGTCACGGTAGGTATAGCTAATCAATTGAGTCATCAATTTGACACATTTGATCCTAAATTTAAATCACTGTTATTTTCTTCTGAGAATTCTATTGCTATGTTACAAAATATTACTAGGTCCCTCCCACAAATAGAAGCTTCAGCTAAAAAATGGTCAACTTCAGAACCAGATTTTCATTCTTTAAATAATAAGCTGTCTAATCTTAGTAATATGTTTTCTAACTCTTCTGAGTCTCACAATATTAAAGAAATTAAAAATATTGTGATTGCCCTTAGTAACAGAGAAGATTTGTCCAAGAAAGCATTTGACAATCTTTTTAGTCTTGTGTATGATAAATTGGAAGAAAACAAAAATAAAACTAATGACTTCTTTGAAAAATTGAACAATAAGTTGACTCCTGATCCTGGAGTTGGAACTTCTTCAAAATTAGAATCTACAGAACCAAGAAAAGAGTCACCTGAATTATTTCCAACCAATAAACAAGATAAGGGTAAAGGTAAAGAAAATTGTCATCCTAGTGCACCTGACATATTTTTACAAGATCAACAATTGTACAATAATAATATTTGTTCTTGTCATGCAAAAATCTCTGAGCTTAAGTTGGAGCATGAATTAATCAGAGAAGTTAATGAGAAAGTAGATTACCTAATTAACTTGAGTGAACAACCAACTGCTGACATTAATGCTAAATTGTTGGTTATAGAAAATAATAATGAGAAGAGATTCAACACTTTGATGGAAAAATTTGATGGATTGAAATCCCCTACTGTAGTACCCAGTGAACAGGTAGAGCACAACCGTGAAACCAGTTCCACTACTGGACCAAAATTGTCTTATGCTCCAGAGGGTTCTAGACCGAATCCACAAATTACTGTAAACAATAATAATGCTGAATTCTTTGAAACTAAAAAACAAGCCACTGATCTTGACCCTGGAAGACTGAGTGAGTTTTTTGAGGTACCCTCAGTAAGAAGTGAGACAGTGCCAGTTGCAAAACCTCAAATGTCTCACGAAACAAGTAAGATCATCATGCAAGGTTTGTCTAAGATAGAAGCATGGCCTAGCTTCTCTGGAGATGGTGAGTATAACCATGTGGATTTTATCAAGAAGATTGATACTATCCAAGAACACTGTCATATAGAGGATGCGGTTATCATTACAAAATTAATGAACATGTTCACAGGTTCAGCAGAGCAATGGTACTCCACCGTAAGAGCTATAGTAGGAAATCAGTCTTGGGCTTTTTGGAAAAAAGCCCTTCATAAAAAATATGGTACTCCCGCCTGGAGAAGGAAACTTTTGACTAATTATCAAAAGGACAAATTCATACCAGGGAGTACCCAAGCAGCGGCTTGGGTCACAAGACAGTACACAAGGATCATGGCGTGTGAGCCACAAACTAACCATGAGAGCCTCATGTTCAAACTTCTGACCCAAATGGATGGAGAAGTCAGCTTTGCGGCACAAAATGCAATGAAAGATGGCCAAACTCTGACTTCATCAATTAATGCTTTAGAAGATATTACAGAATACACCAATATAGGTAAGAGACAACCATCTTATGGCCTTAGTAACAAGCAATACACTAATAATAATAATAGTTTGGATAAGAGTAAGGACTCCAAACAAAGTTCAGATCTTAAGTGTTATTCTTGTGATAAAGTAGGACATACCTCTAGGAACTGTCCAAAAAAGGCTAAGAAGGTTGCAGCTATTGGTGATGAAAGTAATAATGATGCTGGTATTGATTCAGAAAGTGATGCTGAGCAGCAAGATCATAATCCAGATATTGTGTGTGTGAATACTACGTCCGTAGATTATTTCATCTCCCCTGTTTCAGGGAGTAATAGAATAGTCCAAATGACTTGTTGTCACAAGCCGTGTAGCGTACTGCTGGATTCTGGTGCCTTTAAGTCAGTAGTTGGAATGAATTATTTGACTAAGTTCTGTCCTGATTGGAAAAAATTTATTATTTCCACAACTACTGATAAATTCCATAGCTGCTCAGACCAATTGACTACACTAGGTGTAGTCAAAGTTATTCTGGAATTTAAAAACCACAAGTTGCATGTGGATTTTATAATCATTGAAAATGCCTTGGTAAATTATTTCATTCTGGGGAATGATTACTTAAGCCATTTTAAAATTTCTATTATGAATGATAAAGGTAGCTACTTTAAAATTGGTTCTGATAATGTCAAACACACATTTGGCAACAATAAGTCTAAATTAGTTGCGTCAGGAAATACTTCTGAGTCCTCATTTTTACAGGAGGTAATAGATAGCTCAAGAATAAATCCTGAACTGCCAAGCAAAGCAAAGGATCAACTCCTTCAATTGCTTTTTGCCAAAAAAACAGGCTTTTGCTACGGTGGAAGAGCCCTTTGGTGCAATCAAAGGTCATGAGGTGAAGTTGACTTTGAACATTGATAAACCATACCCGCCAGTCTTAAGGAAAGCACCTTATCCGGCTAGTCCGAGAAGCAGAGAAGCTTTAGCCGAACATATAGAAGCTTTACTTAAGCTAAAAGTCATTAGAAAGGTAGGTGCAAATGAAAATGTGGATATTACCACCCCGGTAATAATTGCTTGGCATAATAATAAATCTAGACTTGTTGGTGACTTCAGAGCTTTGAACAGCTACACTAATCCTGATAGGTACCCTATGCCTAAAATAATAGAATCTTTAAGTAAATTACATAAAGCAAAGTATATTACTTGTATGGATGTACTCAAAGGATTCCATCAAAATGTTATTCATAAAGATAGCAGACAATTCTTAAGAATAGTCTGCCATCTTGGTATTTATGAATATCTTAGGATGCCTTTTGGCATAAAAAATGCGCCATCTCACTTTCAGAGAATGATGGACACAGAATTTGCAAATGAGCTAAGCCAATTATGGCTCATTATTTATATAGATGACATCATTATTTTTTCAGATAATTGGAATGACCACTTAGATAGGTTGAGTACAGTACTGGATAAAGTCATCAAAATGAATATGAAAATTTCACTAGCTAAGTGCCAGTTTGGATTTTCAGAGCTAAAAGCTGTAGGACATATAGTGAGTGGTTTGTCTTTAGGAATTGACAAACATAGAGTAGCAGCAGTGTTGCTCAAACCTACACCTCAAAACGTCAAAGAAATGAAAATGTTCCTTGGTTTTGCTGGGTACTATAGGTTGCATATAAAGAATTTTGGGTCTATGGCCTCTAGTCTTTATAAGCTCTGTAGCCCCAGTGTAGTATTTGAAATGACTGCTGAAAGAGTTGAAGCTTATGAGTCCCTCAAATTTGCTTTAACAAATGCTCCACTATTATTTCACCCTGATCCAAAAGAAAGGTTTAAATTATATGTTGATGCATGCATGGAAGGTATTGGTGCAGCTCTGCATCAAGTACAAACCATCAATGACAAACCTGTAGAGGGACCAATTTGTTTCATTTCAAGACAACTCAAGGATTCTGAGAAGAAGTACGGTGCTTCTCAGCTTGAATGTCTCTGTCTAGTGTGGGCCTTGGATAAGTTGTATTACTATCTAGATGGTTGTGAGTTCGACGTCATCACAGATTGCAATGCACTTAGGTCTTTGTTGAACATGAAAACACCCAATAGGCATATGCTCTGTTGGCAAATTGCTATCCAAGAATGGAGAGGATCTATGACCATTGTTCACAGAGAAGGCATAGTGCATAAAAACGCAGACGGACTTTCTAGATGGGCTTTGCCAAATGACCCTAGTAATCCTGCTTATGATGCTGAAGAAGCTGAAACAGGTTCACCAGTTCTGGATATTTTGCCTTTTAACATGAGGATGTCTGAGTGTCTTGCACACTGGGCTTTACCAAATGATGAAAACAATCCAGCTTTTGAAAAAGAGTCCTTTGTTGACACTAATCCTATTATGGCTATTTCTATATCTGGATTGTCATCATCCTTTTGGGAATTAATAGAAAAGAGTTATGAATCTAACAAGAACACCATAATTTTGGTCAAATTACTTAAGTCACCTTACCCAGATAAAGGTCTAGTTGAAGGACTTGAAGGAATTTGGAAAAAACATTTCTTAGAAAACAGATTTGTGTTGTTAGACAAATTGTTATACCACAGGCATGAACACAACTCCTCAGTAGTGCTTATTGACCCCAGTCACATCAGTATAATTTTGAATGAGTGCCACGACAGTATTACTTCTGGCCACTTTTCCAAGGAAAGAAATCTAAATAGAGTCCAGGGTCTGGCTTGGTGGCCAGATTGGAAAAATCAAGTGTCGGATTACTGTGATTCTTGCAACAGGTGTCAAAAAGCCAATAAAGCTACAGGAAAACGCTTTGGCTTGTTACAAACAATTGATGAGCCTAAATCAAGATGGGAAATTATCAATATGGACTTTGTTACAGCCCTTCCTGCAGCAGGACCAGAAAACTATAATGCTGTGTTAGTAGTCTGTGATAGGTTTTCCAAAAGAGCAAGATTCCTGCCTTGCTATAAAGATAGTAGTGCAATGGATATAGCACTTATCTTTTGGAATAGAGATCGTTTGTCCGTACTTTTTGCACGTACCTGGTACCTCCTGGGGGGTACCCCTCGCACCCGCCCCGCACCTGCCAGGAGGTGCCAGGTGCGGTACTTGGTACCTATCTTTTTGAAAAATTGAACAGGTACCTAGGTACCTCTACAGGTACCCCCTCACTTCCCTACCAAAAATCAAAATGATGGTGGCCTTCTACTCCAAGAACTCCAAGATCCAAGAAGGTACCTTGGCTGCATGGAAACAGGGACTCAAGGATAACAAGAAGTCTAACAAAAAATCAAAAAGGAAGGTGATGGTTTTGGATGACAATGAAGACTCTTCCAATTAGTTATAAGTTTTAGATAGTTTCAACTTTTCAATAAATTATTAAATATGAACAAATGAAAAAAGTGATCTGGGACTGATGTTTTACAATAAATATGAAAAAAATAGAAAAGTAAGATTCTTCCAATTAGATGTAGATATATTACCACAGATATTAAAAAATGCCAAAAAAGTGACTTGTGAGTGATATTTTACAATAAATATGAAAAAATAATAACAGTAATAAAGTGACTTGGGACTCTGGGAGTGAAACTAGGTGAAAAAGAGAGGAAGGGTACCTGAGGTACCTGCAACGGGTACCTTGGGTACCCCCCGGGAGGTGTCTGGTGCGGTACATGGTATCTATTTTATTGAAAAAATGAACAGGTACCTAGGTATAAACAGGTACCCAGGTCCGAACGAACAATCTCTAGGGAAGTACATGCTTAAAGGAGAACAAAGCTAGGAAAAAAATATATAAAGGGCAGAGAAGTTGTCGAGGAAGGAGGGGGATTTTTCCCAACGCATTCAGGTTAAGTGGGGACTTGATGTCTCTCACAACATTGCACATTGCAATACCTGTATAAAGTGCAAGGGGCCTCTGGGTTTGTGGTTTAATGGTTTAACTTGTTAATAATAATTGTGTGCAGTGGGTAGACAGTCCAACGGTGGGCCAGCTACACTAACCGTAGCGTTAGCGCAGCGTAGTGTAGCGATTTTTTGCTACAATTTAGCGTAGTGTTAGCGCTTGTTTCTTTTTTTGCGCTAACACTACGCGCATGGGGCGAAAACGTGCGCTAACGTTTAGCGTAGCGTTAGCGCAATTCCCCCCATCTGCGCTAACGCTACACGCACAGGCCGCCAAAAACTGCCCGCTACGCTGCGTTACGGCCATTTTTAGCGGTTTTTTGCCGTTTTTTGCCGCTAAAAACGCTGTAGCGTAGCGTAACGCAGCGTAGCGGCGCCAGCGGCGCGCTAACACTACACCAAAAAAAGGTTAGTGTTAGCGCCGCTACAAATTAGCGTAGCGCAGTGGCCGTAGCGGCGCGCTAACACTACACGAAAAAAAAAAAATTGGCGCCGCTACGCTAACGCTACATGGGCCCGTAGCGTAGTGTAGCGTAGCGGCCCACCGCTGGTACTAGACAGTGAAAAGTGGCGACTTGTTTTGGATTCCAGAGCTCCAAAAAACAAAACTGAAGTCATGAGACTTGGTCAGGTGGTGAATAATAGGTCCCAAAAAATGAATATGAAAAAATAAAAACAAAAAATAAAGTCTCAAAATTTGTGAAAAATAAAACATAAAATTGTTTTTTTTTCAAAAGCTTTGATATTCATGTTGGAGGGCAGATCAATGGAACATGGGAAAAATGATTATAAATAAAAAAAATGGAACCAAAAAAGGTTTAGCCAGGTTGGTTGTCCAGATTGGAGCCAAAACAGTAAATTCTATTGCTTGACTGCAGTCTGGGCTGGTGAATGGCACACTCAACAGCTGTTTGAAACCATCTAGAAAACAATTTTTCCAAAGTTTTCAATTATAATCATTCTTCTCATGTCCCAATATTTCTTTCTCTGAGCACTCTCACTCCCCCATAATGCATGTCAAGTCCTTTGAGAAAACTCAATTTTATTTTTTATCTTTTACAAATTTTGGAACTTTGTTTTTTGTTTTTATTTTTTCATATTCATTTTTTAAAACCTATTCTGCACCACTTGACCTCAAGTTTGTTTTTTGGAGCTCTGAAATCCAAAATAAGCAGCCAATTTTCACTGTCTACCCACTGTATGGTGTTGCAAGCCCATCTGGGCACACACCAAAGTTTGGCCAAAAAAGGCCAAGCATGTTGGGCCAATCCTAAATTAAGCATGTGTGGCACCACCCCAAACCCCGCTTGGCATATGCTCAAGTTGGAAGGGGGTCAGGACAAAGCCTTGCTTGGCCAATATCAAGCAAGGGTGCCACCCCTGCCAAAATGCCGGAAATTGAGAAGGAATCCCTTCTTGATGACCGGTTGATCACTACCAACGCTGAAACAGATACGGTATCTGCCATGTATCTGAGCCCCAATAAAAAAAACTATCTGACTAATCTGCTTTTATTTGCAAGGAGATTCAACAAATTTGGTTTTTGGCCATGCAGCTTTGCAGAATTTGCCATGATACACACAGTGTATCGTATCTGTTACAGCGTTGTCACTACTTGGTCATTCACTCTCCTCAATGACCAGAACTGTACCAATCATTGGGGAGGAGAGCCTTATTTCTGACGGCTATTACATCAATTTTCCAACCATCAAAGGGCAATGGATCCCTCCTGACTATTGAGGAGGGACTGCCCCCTCCTTGATAGCTGATTCTGTGTGCATACCAAGTGTCAAGACGTGTATCTCCCTTCCTTGGCGTCCGGGTCTGTATGGGTCATTGAGAGGGAGTTGTATGATCCCTCTCAAAGCCCGGTGCACACCAGTTGATTCTGGACTTGTGCCCAGGAGCACCTGAGCCAACAATTGGACCAGGGCTTGGAATCAGCCCAGATGGACAATGAGGTAATAAATTATTGAATTTAAGAGTAAAATAGGCCAGAAAATGATAAATAGAGAAAGAAACAAAGTAAACAGAAGAAAACAAAACAAAAACAGGAAAACAACATAAAGAAATGAATGCAGAAATAGAACAAAAAATACAGGAATTCCGAGAAACCCCCAGAAGAGAAGCCTGAATAAGGACAGCCAAAAGATAAAGCAGGATAGGTTAACCTCCATTGAACCAATCACAATAATAATTATCCTTAGATCCTGGAGGGAGACAAACAATCATGGGGGGTGTATGTTCATAACAGCCAGCACATACTTTCCCCCCTATACTTACCAAAGTGTGGGACAAAGACTTAAGCCCCTTCTGGGTCAAAAAATCCAACACTTTCCTCCACCCCAAGTCTTTGGTGAAGATATTGGCCTATTGCTTGTTTGTTGGGATCCAATCAAAATTTACTTGATTTTGATAAAGCAGCTTGTTGATGGTGTGAAATTCTTGATCAATGTGTCAATGTTCTTTTTGAGTATCACAGTCTTTGCTGATATAAACCACAGCCTTATTTTTGGACAAGATCAAGGGAGATCTTGAGCTGTAAAAAACAGATAAGAGGGAATGAACAAAGCAGGCATCCTTTGAGGAAGAAGAAATTTCCATGTATTCCACTTAACACGTTGAGTGGGCCACACAATTCTGAAGTTTTGACACTCAAGAGATAGGTGTACCCCATACGGTTGAAATAAAACAATGGACAGAGTGCCATCCTTTGCATCAACAAAGGTCACAGCCACAATCATTGCAAGATTTGGGCTAGATTTGCAGCAAACATAAGAGAGGAGATGTTCCAGGGAAACCCAGTGCAACTGATCTGGTACCATGGAAAAGTGCACTAGAAAATTCACTGAAAAAGAAATATCCAATCTAGAACCCTGAGCCAGATAGAGAAGACTACCAATTCAAGAAAGATATTCTTTATCTATTTGTCGAGAGGCATTGGATAGAAGATCAGTAGAAGGCAGCAGAGAACAAGTTTTGATGTTGGAATGTCTTGTATAGTAGATTTATATTCAGCTAGATACAAGCAATTAAACTCATCAGTTCTGATCCTCTGGTCCTTCCAAATACCATTTTTCCTTTCCGTTGTCTCATCCAAGGCTGATTCCTTTTTCCCCTCAGCAAAGAGATTGAGTCAAAATATATAGTCTGATCTTCTAATTTAGTCTATCCTGCTCTAATGGCACTTACAGTATTCTTCTGTCTGCCCCTTCCTCTTCAGCATTAACTTGTTCAAGTTGGACACCTACCACCCACAAGCAGGTAATAGGAGATGTTGCAGGTACCTACCAATGCATACATACTGGAGGGCATCCCTAAAACCAAATCACCCATAATGATAGTGCTAATTGCAAGAGTAGAATTTGAAATAATGTAGCATGAATACTCCTAATTAGCTCCCAGATTTTCCACAGCCTATTCTATTGTTTATATTCTCATTAAACTAACTTCCTCATAGGCAAATAAGATTAGCTTACCATGTGCTATATTTGAACAAGCTTGAGGTGCTTTTACCACTAAAAAAAAGGTGTAAAACAGTCTAGCTCAGGGTTATTGCCCTGCAATTCCAAAATTTCAGCAGACTAACAATCGTGTTTTCTGCTAGCATACTGATGTTTCCAAAAAAAAAGTAAAACTTTGTGGAGTTATTTTTGGAGTCTGAGATGTTTCTTTTGTTCCACTGCCAGGTCATACTTTCCTGAGCCCTATACAACATCATCACAAATACCTCAAGGTCAAAGTCCATCTTTCCTTCACAACAATACATTACCTCCTTCTTCTCATAGAGCATAAGATCCATTCACTTCTTTCTCTTTTTCCCTTTGTCAAACTTGCTTATGTGGAACGTAGTCAGTATTGACTTTGAAATGCATAAGCAACAGGTGCTTCAAACATTGTAAAATAAACCTATTTTCTTAAAATGCAGATGGTAACACTGTGAAAAAAAATCACATGTAACTGGTAGCAGTTGACATGTGGGAACTCTGATGAAACTTGTGTAGTAACTCAAATGTTACTCAAAATTTACTTCAGTTGAACCTTGATGCACAGTCACTTTGCATCTTGCACAGTTGTCAGTCACTGTGCAGAAAATATCATTCTGGAATAATTCACATCAACAACCAAGTTGGGACCCCATATGTCAACTGCAACCAGTTGCATGAGTTTTTTTCACAGTGTATAAGAACAACCATTCGATAAGATTTGTTTTAAATAAAGCTTTTGATTTCAGGAAGTTTATCTATATGAAGTAACACACATTTACACACATATATAACTGACTATTTTGTTTAGGTATAAGCACATACATTTGATTATCTCTGGAAGAGTCTAATTCATTTGTTCAGAGATAAGTAAAGAAGACCAGGAGCTTTGTATACAAATCAAAGCCGTTGTCTGACATAAAGAGAGAATAAGATTTCAAGAGAGATCTTCCATTCTAGCACGAACGGGTGTGAGACCGAAAGTGGTCCAAAACTGGCGACTATCGATAGCTCTCCCGAGCAGAGCGGGGGATCTGGGCAAAGCACGCACGTTATGTTCCTGCATGAGTTGATTAACCCAGTCGGCTTGGGGGCCAATAGTGAGGTGAGAATGAGGATGGTCGAGGGAGGATTCGCCCCAAGCGGAGGCCAGGTCCCACCAATCATAGACGCGTTGGTCGGTGAGGATCCATCTTTGACCGGCGGCAAGATCGAAGGACTCGACGACGGCGAGGATCGCTCGGGCCACATCGAGGCCATGGATCATGTGCAGACTCGTCTTGCGCTCTAAGGCTTCCTTCGTGGCTGCTATCTTGCCCACATATCTTCGCATGCTTCGCGTCCCGCCCCAGAGCCCCGATAGGTTCAGAACCGTCGTCCGCACACTCACGTCCTCGTCACTTATCGGTTTTGTCCCGTTCATCTGGAGTAACTCGTCCTCCGATATCGCCCGTGGATTCGTCTTGTCATACTCTGAATCTCGGTCGATCCATACCGATCCTTCTTGCTTTCCCTCTTCTTTATTGATGGCTTTCAATGTTGGGCTTCCCTAATCCAACAAACACACAATCATGGGTCCATACAAATAAGTTTTCAACAAGATTTGATGAGGCAAGAATCAGTTTAATTGTAGCGGAAGATCACACTCAACGTCGAATATCCCACTACTTCCGAGTTGGATGAAATTGACATTAAAGATCCATTGATCGGTGCTGGACAGGGTCGAAGTCTTTTTCCTTGTTCTTCTAGAGAGCAGATACTGGGAGACCAAGAAACGAGAAGCGCCGGAGTCTTTGATCGGGAAGCTGATGAGCACCGAGCGGGCATGCGGCAAGTTCCTGAATTGGTTCACATCATCAGCTTCGGGTACATGATGATTCGGGTCGAACTTGAACGGGATCGACTGGTATTCGCCTCCTCCTTTTGTCGTCGTCGTTCGATACGTTATCGTTGGCTTGTGTTGATCGATATACGAACTGTTATCGTATTTCAAATAAAAGTGTGTAACAGGTTAATGACCAAAGTTGTCTTGGGAAAACGGGGGGAGCTTGGAATATACACTGACTTACATTAAGAATCCAGCTACCCATCCAGCACCTAAGATGAGTATATCCACCGGTTCTTCTTGGTTGTCGTTGGTCGTTGATGTATTGCAGCTAGGTTGTTTACCTACAATCGTGACCATGATGGTAGCGTAGAGTGTCGGAGTCTTGTCTTCTCAAGATCCGATTCCAAGTCGAGTTCAGCTCGCTTCCCCTTCTCATCATCATCATCATCACCACCACCACCACCACCACCACCACCAACTGGCATCTGCAATCAACCGATCCACACAGCTATGGAAATCTTTGCCAGCATTCGTCCTACAGACATCAGGTTATGGTACAAACCGTAATTGAACCCTATTTAAACTTCTCGACTTAATATTCTCAAGGCCTGTTCACTCTGCTTCCACCACATAGCTTTGTTCTGGTACTAAAATATGCATGTATCTCTTAAAAAGACTTGTCCCATCAACATCAAAGATTATGATCAGATTTGAACAACCATCCCTAACCTGATCCCATTGGTGTCGTGCCACTTTCTATATTGCACCACATGTAAAATGCAGGCTTGTGAACCTGAGACCAAGATGTTATTTTTTCTGAATCCATCACTCAATCCAGTTTCCTTTATTTTTTTGGGTCTTTGTCTGTAATGAACCAGGAACTGATGATCAAATGTCCAATTTCATGAGAACCAGGGGGAAATGAAACACCAAATAGAGAAAAAGATGGCTTGAGAAACAGAGATAAAAAATAGCTGTAGTTAAATGAAAAAGAAAAACAAAAAAGAAAGAGCTAAAAAGAAACTAGATTTCAATGTCAAAATATCTGTTGAAATAAAAACTCAGATTGACTCAGAAAATACAAAGAGAACTGATGGCAAGTTGTAGAAGTATTATTCAAATTTAGAGGTTAGCAAAAAAGAAAGTCAAGTGAAATAGAGAAGGCATGGAATGGATCTTATTTTCAAGAAAAATGTGATTGTATGTGGATTGAAAGAAAAACGTGATTGTATGTGGATTGTGAGGGACAGGTGAGTTTTGATCTTGAAGGATTGTAATGATGTTGCATAACAGTCAAAATGACAGGAGAGTATGATCTATCTACAGGGAAGCAGGTATCCCTGATGCTCAATATTCAACCTCAATGAACCATTCTATGTGGAAACATTCAAAGTCCTAGCATAGAACACCTTTTTTGTCTTGTGAACCTTTGGAATCATAGGACCAAGGGTGCTTCTATACTGAGCTAAACCATCAGACAATTCTTTCAGTGGTAAAAAAATAAAGCTTGGTCTACTAGAGCACATGATCAACTAATATCTGCGGCATTTGGTTTGATTAGTATAACACCACAGCAGATAGCACAGAAATTGGGTAGCAAATAGTAGTACATCTACACAGTGATATGCTACACTATTGCTACTCATGGAACAGCACCATAAATTTTGATGTGAGTTACTCTGAAAGATTTCTTGTAAATCCTTTCCATAGAAAGCCACACAAACAGGGCACTTTGATGTCAATTGAGAGAACATTTACATGAGAATCTTTTTAACAGTGGAGCCTATTCTTTTGCTTAAGCATTGACTGACTGCCACCCTTAGCCCCTTCCACTGCCAGCACAAAGATCTATCAGAAATATTCCCTTGTTTTCTTTCTTTCTTCTGTCAGAAAAATAAAACTCACAACTTGGAAAATAGGAGAGTTTCCAAGTAAATCAATAGAGAAAATGGCTTAGTAGAGCTGAGGGAGAACCTCAAGAGTGACTGAGTAAGCTTAAATCAACATCAAGGGTGTACAACAACTTTTATTGGGAGTCTACAGATGCCAATGGGGATTGAACTCTTGGCTTCAATTTTCTTCCAACTTTCATATGGATCAAAACAAAAATGAACAGGATGGATGGATAAAACTAATTTTGGGTGCCTTTCTAAAACTATTCTCAGAGGGGCACTTGAAAATTTAGGACACAAGAAAATTTGATTATCTATAATCAACATTGAAAAAAATAATGAAACCTCACATCATCAAATCAAACCACTTGTGATATAACTACACCACATAATCTTAGAAATATTCTAGCAAATTTCAGTCTTGAACAAAAAAATGAAAAGAAAGGTATTGGACAATCAACAAAACACTAAAAACTTGATGAGATTTGATCAAATGAATCGGCAGCATGGTGAACAATATGAAAAGCATCATGGAACAATTCATACCAAGTGGCAAACCACTGTTGGAGTTGAATTTGAGGAAGTAAATCTTCGGGTTTAGGGAAAAGATTAGGCAGTATTGAACTGTCTGGTTCTTTTCAGTTCTTTCTCTAATTTTCACTCGTACTTTATTCATTTCACACTTGCGCCGCAGTTATCTGAAACCTAATTGATCTTCATAAAAGCGTTCTCTTTACTTTGTATCGGTCTCTTTCTTAATCAATCAATTGTTTCATCTTACCTCGTCGCTTTGTCACTAACCTCAAACTATCTCAGGTTCGTTTCTTTTATCACTTTCACTATCATTCTATTTAGCTTAACCTTGTGATCTTTTCAGGTTTGTGTTCTTCAGGTCTTCTCTAGTCTTATCGTGTAGATAAACTGAGATCGCCTTCATCCAAAAGGTGTGTATGATAAAGCAATCAATCAATTGTTTCATCTTACCTCGTCGCTTTGTCACTAACCTCAAACTATCTCAGGTTTGTGTTCTTCAGGTCTTCTCTAGTCTTATCGTGTAGATAAACTGAGATCGCCTTCATCCAAAAGGTTTGTGTTCTTCAGGTCTTCTCTAGTCTTATCGTGTAGATAAACTGAGATCGCCTTCATCCAAAAGCTTGTGGTTCATTAGGTTATGAGCCCAGATAGTGCCTAATCTGCAACCTCATCGAACTCCAGCTTTTTACACACGATGGCCGAAAAATCGATCCATCATCTTCCACTTCTCTCGAAATCTAACTTCCAGAACTGGAAGAACATCATGTTTTCGTACTGCCTAGAAAGAAACCTCGACGATCATCTTCTCTCCGATCTGGTTAAAGAAGAAAAGGACGCTGTTGCTAAAATTTCTCTTCAAGACAAGAAGGCAGCTGCAGCAGGAATTCTCGGTCGTAATTTAGGTGTTGAAAATTATGCTAAATTCATCACTGAAGATAATCGAAAGCAACCACATCAAATTTGGAAGGCTTTGATTGATCATTTCCAGTCTGATTCATCGCAAAATCATGCAGTCGTCTATCGAGATTTCCTAAACATCGGATTCACTTCTACTCTTGAACAATTTATCACGGATATCGACGTTGGTATTTCCAATCTTCGCTCTGTCGGGATCAACATCGTCAAGTTAGAGAAGACGACTATTGATGAAACTCTCTTAGCCGAATATATCGTCAATCTTTTGCCTCAAAAACTTGAGAACTCAAAAGAGATAATAACGACTAAAAGACCTTTGAGCATCGATATTGTCAGAAACTATTTGAATTCGAAACAGCTCAGTTCCACTGGAAGTCCTTCAAATTCGGTCGATCCGGTCGTAAAATCTGAATCAGCAATGAAGACGGTCACCGTGTGGTGCGATAACGGTCAACACAATGAAAATGCTCATCACACGAAGGCAAATTGTTTTCAACTTCATCCAGAGAAAGCTCCGGACTCTTGGAAACGAAGGCAATCTTCTAAGAAGAAGACGGCAAATGCTGTTGTGAATGATTCCAGCATTTCGGGTGTTTACGGCTGTGTCGTCAATCCTCAAGCTCTTTCGGTTTTCAAAGACACGTCACACGTCTTTCTGGATAGCTGTTGTTCAGACCACATGTTTCCCAATAAACATTTCTTTTCCGATTACGAAAACGTTGTTTCGTCGGTCAGCGTTGCTAGCGGTCAATCTCTTCCTGCTTTAGGAAGAGGTCTTGTCTACATGAAGAACGTCGACAATTCAACTTTTGCTGTGAACGCTCTTCATGTTCCGGGACTTACGCATGCTTTGCTCAGTCTGGCTCGTTTATCACTCAACAATTGTGATCTTATTCGGCAGCCCGGTTCAAAATCAGTTTTTTCTGTAAAAGATACTGCTAAAAATTTAACTCTTTTTGATGCGGAGATCAAGAATAACATCTATCTTTGCAAGGCTTCGGTGGTTCTTCCTCAAGGTTCGCCGAATTTGCCTTGTTCATTTGATACGACTAGTTCAACTTCTGATGCGGCTCTTCTTCACAGACGCGCCGGTCATCCGAGTCGAGAAGCACTAAGAAAAATGTTCCGCGTCAGTTATTCGACGATGGAATGTATGGCTTGTAGATTGTCTAAGTCTCATCGCCAACCATTCTCCGGAAAACTTCCAAAACCATCTTGTGTACTGGACTATGTTTACATGGATCTTAGTGGGAAGATAACACCTTCAACAGTTGGCAAAGCTTCTTATTACTTCAAAATTACCGATTCTTTCTCGGCATTCAAACATGTATTTATTTTATCTGCTAAAAGTCAAGCTTTCGTCAAGTTTAAAGAATATTATAATGAAGTAACTACTTTTCATTCTAAGAAACTCATCAATCTCGTCACCGACAATGGTGGAGAATTTTGTTCAAATGAGTTTGAGACATTCTTGAAGGACAACGGCATCAAACATCATCTTACGGCTCCTTACACTCCTCAACAAAATTCAATTGCTGAAAGGGGAAACCGAACGACTTCAGAGAAAGCCAGGTCGATGTTGAAGCAAGCGAATCTTCCAGTCAACTTGTGGGGAGAAGCTGTTTCAACAGCGGTTTTCTATGAGAATATAACGCCGACAAAGAAGATTGCATGGAAAACACCTCATGAACTGTGGTATGGCTACAAGTTCAATCTATCTCGTCTTCGAACTTTCGGTTGTCGGGCTTTTGTCAACATTCCGGACGACATCAGAAAAGGAAAATTTGGGGATACGTCTAAGTTAGGTATTCTTGTTGGGTATAGACAGGGTATTCCTAACTGGAGGATACTCACAGCGAATACTCGGGTTGAGTACAGCCATGATGTCACTTTTGACGAAGCTTGTTTTCCAGGAATCTCCCCGAGTGATTCTGTCTATACGGATTTTGAAGAGCAGTTTGTGGAAGAAGCGGATACTCCGACTCCTGTGGTTGTTGATACGTGTCCGGATTTGTCATTGCAATCTCCGGTAGTACCTGATGATAACTGCGTACCCGCAGTATCATCACCTACGTCATCATCAGAGTATCAGGAGATTGAATCGTCGTTACTCCCTTCTCCTCCTCCATCCTCTTTACCTCCTTCGTCACTTTCTCACCCACCTCCTTCGTCACTTTCTCACCCCATTCCTCAACAACATACAGTTGTTTCTAAAGCTAAACCCAGCTGGGAGTACGTCCCTGCAGACCAACCGGCTCCAAAAAATATCACTTCCGACCCAACAGATCCTGCCAACATTCTCACGACAAAACGTAGAGCTCACTTAGTAAATCAAGACTTGACAACTGAGCCTTGGTTTGTACCGTATTTCAATCAGAGTTTGTGTTATTCTTCGATTGCCGAAGCTAACTTGGTTCCTAAAACTTATAACGCAGCCTTGAAATCTCCTCAGTCGACTGATTGGTTAGAAGCTATAAGGGTCGAGCTTGCCGCTATGGATCGTTTGCAGGTTTGGAATGTTGTTCCGATTCCCTCTGATCAAACTCTTCTTGGGTCCGTTTGGGTGTTTCGTGTGAAGCATAACGCGGCTGGTGACTTCGTGAAATTCAAGGCGAGGCTTTGTGCCCAAGGCAGTTCGCAGCGCGATGGTATCGACTACGGAGAAACTTATGCTCCGACGGGCCGTCCTTCTACTCTCCGTGCTGTTCTCGCCTATGGGGTCAACAATCAACTCGACATTCACCAAATGGACGTCAAAAACGCTTTCCTCAATGGAAAGTTGGAAGAAACAGTGTATCTTCGTATTCCGGCTGGACTTGACGCACCTCCTGGTACTTGTCTGCATCTAGTAAAGTCAATTTACGGTTTGAAGCAAGCACCAAGAGTATGGTACCGTGAACTCTCTTCATTCTTCGGCTCTATCAACTTCTTCCCTTCTGCAAACGACCCTTGCCTCTTCAGATCCGCCGATCCCGACTGGACTTGTCTGGTTCATGTGTACGTGGACGACTTGGTTGTCATTTCCGGGGACGTTGCAAGATTCAAGAGATTCATCAACGATCGTTTCTTGATGGAAGATATGGGTCCTATCAGTTCTTTGCTTGGAATGAACATTACTCAAGCAAATGATCATCTGTCTTTGTCTCAAGCCAATTACGTTACTGAGATTTTAACTGAATATGACTATGTCTCTTGTCGACCTGTCCCGACTCCCATGATTCCGAATACTCGTCTGGTTTCGGCTACTGAGGATGAAGTGGAAGAATTCAATGCACTCCATATCAATTATCGTCGAGCGGTGGGTTTGGTAAACTGGGCTGCTGTCGCGACTCGTCCCGACATTGCTTTTACGGTTTCACAGTTATCTCAACATCTCGAGCGTCCGGGCATTGTGCATTGGCGGGCGTTCACTCATCTTCTTCGATATCTTTCATCGACTCTCAATTTTTCAATCAAGATAGGGGGAGGGGAGAACAAGATTTCAATCTATGTCGATGCTGATTTTGCGGCTTGTACGGAGACTCGTCGTTCTTACTCCGCTTATCTCGTTCGCTGGGGCGATTCGGTTATATCCTGGAGGGCTAAAAAGCTTTCGACTCCTTCGACTTCTACGACTGAAGCCGAATATAAATCCTTATATGACGGGATTCAAGAAGCTATCTCTATGCGACTCTTATTGGAATCGCTCGGTTTGCCAGTCTATCCCATTCCTGTCTATTGTGACAATCAAGCAGCGATTGCTCTGTCGCGCAATCCTTTATTTCAACAACGAACTAAGCACGTCGATGTAAAATATCATTTTTCACGCGATGCGGTTGAGAAGAACTATGTCGACATTCGCTATGTTTCTACGGCAGACAATGAAGCAGACGGCTTCACCAAATCACTTCCCCGCATTCGTCATCAAGCTTTTCTCGGCTATCTCAAAAATAATCTTCAACAATTTATCGAATCCGAAAATTGAGAATGAGGGGGGGTATTGAACTGTCTGGTTCTTTTCAGTTCTTTCTCTAATTTTCACTCGTACTTTATTCATTTCACACTTGCGCCGCAGTTATCTGAAACCTAATTGATCTTCATAAAAGCGTTCTCTTTACTTTGTATCGGTCTCTTTCTTAATCAATCAATTGTTTCATCTTACCTCGTCGCTTTGTCACTAACCTCAAACTATCTCAGGTTCGTTTCTTTTATCACTTTCACTATCATTCTATTTAGCTTAACCTTGTGATCTTTTCAGGTTTGTGTTCTTCAGGTCTTCTCTAGTCTTATCGTGTAGATAAACTGAGATCGCCTTCATCCAAAAGGTGTGTATGATAAAGCAATCAATCAATTGTTTCATCTTACCTCGTCGCTTTGTCACTAACCTCAAACTATCTCAGGTTTGTGTTCTTCAGGTCTTCTCTAGTCTTATCGTGTAGATAAACTGAGATCGCCTTCATCCAAAAGGTTTGTGTTCTTCAGGTCTTCTCTAGTCTTATCGTGTAGATAAACTGAGATCGCCTTCATCCAAAAGCTTGTGGTTCATTAGGCAGGATATCAATTTTAACAATAGAGAAATAAGAAAGAAAATGGGATACAGCTTTATTGAGTCCTTCGATGATTCCTGAAGTAGTAACTATCCGGGGGAATTTATGAGCATTTTTGATGTAAATCGGTAAGGCGAAAATATAGTCAGAGATCCCGTCTATCGATGTATTCAGAGAATTCAGTTGATCAGAGCACAGAGTTGTGAAAAATTCCGCCTTTTCCTTCCTGTTTTCCTCTCGAAATAGTTTAGTGAAAAAGACTCTTGATAGTTTGATGATTGGGATTAATGATCGAGCGAATTCGATTGTTGGTCGGCTCAGGGGGTCTTCAGGGTTTCCATCCGAGATCTTTGCGGGACTCATCTGGACCATTAGCTCTTGCAAGTCGCTATCGAACTCGACTATCGTATCTTGCCAAATATCCCAGACAAAATTCAAGTCGGGCCCTTTCGACCACCCGATGGCTATATCGATCGATTCGTTGACACTATAAGATGCCTCTTGAACGAAATTTGTATGATTTTTGGTTGAGAGCTTGAAATGTTCAATGATTTGAACAGACTCTTGATATAATTTTTGCAATCCGTCTTTCAAACCTTTTCTGATAGAACGATCAAATTGGTAGAGTCTATATGCTTTGAATTCCTTGAAGTGCTGATCGTTCTTCTGGCAAGGTGAGGGTGGATTTTCGGGGAATATTTCCTCAAGGTTACTATGAAGTAGGCACAGAATCAGATGAAGATTTGTTTGGGTCTCTGAGACGAGGTTGAGAGTTAAGGTCGGGTCTTCTCGTAAGTGGGATGGGTCGTGCAACAAGCCCGCTAGACTGACACATTGCTTTTGGAGTCGAGGCAGAAGGCGCGAGTCCAATCCAGTGAGCAGGTCTTTCTTCGACCTCAGGTGCTCGATAGAGATATCTTTTTTTGCAATATTGATTGGCCAAGGATGAATGTACTGCTCGGCCAGTCGTCTGAAGTCCCTGATAATCAAATCTTTAGAGGTTCCTCAGTATCAATTCAGTTCTGTTTGTTGATATAATTAGTGAAAAGAAGAATCTTACCTGCTTTGCGCTGAAGCTCTTCTGGCACTTCCGGTCTATCAGGTTTGGATATTTCACTGTTAGAGTCCAGCATTCTCGTTGAGGTCTGATTTCTGTGTCCGTCCAACGGAAATCAGCAGGACAAGACTTGAGCTGATTTTAACTGGGCGAACCTGGCTTGAGAAGTCAGACTTCGTGTTGAAAATCCCTTGCAAATGGGACGAGGCATCAAAAAAAAAAAGGAATTCACCAATCCTTTGGTAGTTTGACAATTCTTTTAATATGCATTGCGATACGTAAGGAGTCAAAGTGAAACCTGGGTGCTCAGCACAACATGGTGACTGAACATATCTTACTGCATATAGTCAATAATACAAACATTGCTCAATTTTCCAAAATGCTCAACTTCATAACTTAAGATGCGGCAAATGCAAATGAAAGGATCGTGAAAATTAACTCCAAAAGCTGTCAGTAATGAAAAACTGCAAATCAAATTTAAAACTCGGGGAGGGTTGGACCATAGGGGGCCTACGAATCTCCTGGCTAGGCAGTCCCTCTTTATTCTAATTGGTTAAGTTCGAAGAATCTCATTGACACTTTTCTCGAAACGCATCTATGTATCAGAGTGGGGTTTGTAGCGAGCTTAACTAGGCCTCCACGGCGGGAGCGGTAGCGAGCAGCGGAGCTGTCCACGCCAGTGGAGGCCTCGAGCGTAACAAAGCCCGCGAGCACCCGTAGGCGTGAGGTGCAAGCGAGGCTTATGACCAAGAGTGAGGAGCCCGCGCAAGAGCTCCTCCGAGATAAGTGTAGCTTTTCTTCGTTTCAATTTGTAAATTATACGTTTAATGTTTCAATCTCACTACCCTATCCCAGCTGAGCGCTGGCATCCTATCTACAATCCTGTCTATTCACTTTCATCCTGGCACCGTTTTTGTTTTTTTTTTATCTTTTTTTGAAATCGGTCATTTTTTGTATTTTTGTAGGACCTTTAATGTTTTGTCTATTGATCATTAAAAAGTCAATTGGCCAATTGGCCGTTGAAGTAAAAAGCCATACCTCAAATTAAATGAACGGCACGTGAAAACATTACTCATAATTAGAGAGAGACAGATCGAAGAGATCGAAGAGAGAAAAAAAAAGCGAAAAAGATCAACACAAAAGGAAAAAAGTAAATAGAAATAACATTGAGCTCTTTGGAAAGCGGTCGGATTCGCAAAGCGACCAAGATCAAGTCGCTTCGGAATTGCGAACCGACAGTGAGCCAGGTGATTGGGACAATGCGATCATCAAACACTCGCATGCGATTGTCGAACATCAAACAATTTTCCAGGTTCTTGTAATCTCTTTGGATGGGCAGTTGACGAGGACGTTGCGACGGCCATCTGATGAATTCTTCGACCTCTCGCCAGCTTGATCTTGAATGGTGTCGGGTGTTTATATGTGCGAGGAGGGAGTGAATGCATCGGGTTGGGAGAGAGAGGGACGGAGGAGAGAGAGATCTTATTACTTGAATTAAATGCCGTTGAGCTGAAAGGCAAAAAGGATAGAAAAAAAGAGCGGTTCGTTGAAAAAAAGAGCCATCCAAAAAAACCATGGCTTTGCTAGTAAGCGGCCATGGAAATTCAAGAAACTCAAAGTTTCATGAATTTTATTGATCATGTATGGGACATATATTTCAGGTTCTGAATTGGCTGTTTGATAAAGAAAAATACAAAGTTTAAACCATGAAGAAGAAAAAAAAACTTGTTCAAAACTGAGGTCTGCAAGTGCTCACAACATCCTCCACCACCAAAGCTTGGAGATGCTGTTGGGCCCTGATGGCTCATTATTCCTAAGTCCTCTCCCTGCGGGAGAGTCCCTAGTGCTTGCACACTCGACAAGCGGCTACAGTGCCCCACGCCGCAGCAGGGACGCGGGCTTTGATAAGTTCGTGGAGGCCTATGCCTGAAGTCAAAATCCCCGCGCGCTGAGATTCTGAACTTGGGCTGAAAATCCCAATTTTCGTCTTCATCCTTTTGTAGCCGTTGCCTCATCAACAACATGCGCAGCATTTCCTTCCCAGGCAATGAAGGCCTGCTTCTTGCTGTTCCTTTGATGCTTTTTGTTTCTTTTTACCTTGTCTCACGATTTTTATAATCGTTTTCGAATATCATCTCTTGTCAACTGGAGTTACCGATTCCAAGTTAGAGTGCCCCGCATCTTGTTTTTTTTTTCAGACAATTCAATTTGTAATAATAAGCCAATCAGCATTATAACATTCGTAACATCACAGATTGACTGTTATAACGGCTGAAAAAGAAAGTGAACTAAATCGGTCAACTTGAAGAGATTGGCATCTCCTGTTGACCGTTCTCAATAGACAGAACCATTTCCGAGATTCGTCGTCGAAGATGAGCAGCGGACCAGAAGATTCGATACCGGCCGGCTCACCAGGAGCTTTCCTTCAAGATGATCTGGCAATCCGAGAGCCAGAACCTTTGTTCCCTATTGAGATCGGTCCCAACGCTTCGGAAGGCTCTCCTTCAAGCTCCAACCCCGATGAGACGCTGTTCGATGACGAGATGAATACTGTTAACCCCGAGGCGGCTCTTCCGGATGAGATAACCGCGTTGAAATCACGAGCTACAATCAAGAAACGAGTGACCTTGCCCAAAGAAATCCTGGATCTCAGCAACGAAGCCCTCAGGGAGCATATCCGAGCCAACTCTAGAGAGCTGTACGGAGACGAAGCAAAAAGCGAACAAGTCGACGCCGTTGCTGCATTAGTGCATGACCGACATACGTTTGTTCTGGCAGGTACTGGATTTGGAAAAACCCGGATTGCTGAGATGTACCACAACCTATTTCAACCCAATCAAAAGTCGATCGTTCTGGTCTTGAATCCTTTGGATTCACTGGGAGACAATCAGGTTTGTCTTGGTTCGTCTCTGTTGAAACAAGAACTAGACCTTCAAATCATTATCTGACATCCCTTCCTCTTACTTGAACTTGAAGGTGAATGAGAAAAAATCACAGACCCCTATACTTGATATCCCACACAGGATATCAGGTCAAGTATCAAGGATATCCAGTAGACATCAGTTTTTTTATCTAACATGCTTTCTGACTTCTGCAAATTTTCTGTAACAGTTCTGCAATCTTTTGGTACTTCAGCAACTTACAGTTAAATTACAGAGATTTTGCAGCTTCAGCAACTTACAGTTAACTTACAGAGATTTCACAGAAAGTTACAGGAAACTTACAGAAAAAAAATGGTGTCTACTGGGTATCCCTGATATTTTGCCAGATATCCTGTGCGGGATATCAAGTATAGGTGGTAGTGAATCGGTGGGAGCTTCCCACAAGAAGATTTCAGCGGTCAACTTGAAAAAGGGTGTCTTGGACAAGACAATGGCTAAACAGATCATTGCTGGAGAGTTTGAATTTGTGTACCTGGTTTGTGATTGCTTTATGAAAAAATACAGATTAAAAAATACAAATGCAGCAAAAAACTGATTATTATGTCTTACTTTTATTGAAACAGAGCCCAGAGGCATTGCTGAACAATCCCATCTTCCGTGACATCTACTTTGATACCACCTTCCAAAGTCACCTGAGCCTAGTTGTTGTCGATGAAGCACATATGGTCTATGTATGGGGCCTGGTTGCCAGTGGTGAATCAAAGGGACTTAATTCACATTCAAGACATGGAGAACGCGGAGTCTTCCGGCCGGGGTATGGTGAACTAGCTGCTAGACTGATGGCAAATAACGGCACTCCTCTGCTAATGATGTCGGCGACCTGCCGCCCAATTGCAATCCGAAAAATTCTAGAATCATTCAAGCTGAACATGGACATGGTTGAGTTTGTTCGAGCTGAACTTACTAGGCCGGAAATTCGCATCTTGCGAATCAACATGAAATACTCCCTTGCATCTTCGGACGATCTTGCTGGTCTGTACAGCAGCCAAGAACAAACACCAGACTCCGAGATCATTCCAACTTTGATATATTCAACTACTAAAAACCTAACTGGACAAGTGCTTGAGGTCCTCAACCGCGCTCGAGAGACACATCATGGAGAGGATGATCCCTTCAGCAAATTCGCTCGCCAATACCACTCTGCAACTGGAGATTTGGATAAAAGTGACGTCATCAACGATTTCACAAATGTTGTTTTCCCTGTTGTATCCTCCACCATGGCGCTTGGGTTGGGCCAAAACTGGAAAAGGGTTCGATCCGTCATCCATATGGGTCGAGGCAACCCAGCCTCCATATGTAAGATGCTAGGACAATGCGGACGAGACGGTAAGCCAGGCCTGGCTATAATGTTTGTCGAGCCAAATCGGAAGAATGGAAAGAACTGTGTTACCGATTTCACCAACGTCAAATTCCAAAACGATGATGATAGAATGGATGCGTTAGCTATCACTCCAGTTTGTCTGCAAATAGCTTTTTCACTTGATAATTCGTGCGTTATTTGACAGGATAAATGAAGAAAACAAGAGGCTAATTGGATTTTTGATTCCAGGCTAGGATATGTTCCTTTGTCGGTTGACGATCCAAACTACAAGAAAGAAGCTGCACGTGAAACTGAGAAAGAATTTTCTGAATGCTTCTGCTCAAACTGTAAACCCGAAAGCAGTCAATGGTTGATTAACAACATGAAGAGAGCCACGATCAAAAACTTCAATTCTTTTATATCGGACTTGCGTGAAGACATACCAGAGTTGAATCCAATCAGAAGATCCTGTAGTGTCCAAACCAACAAAGTTGTCTGGGTGGAGGAATCCGGCGAAAAACCCTTGGAAGAAAGTCTTGAGATGTTTTCAAAGGATTTAGTTGGCTACTTCAACAGATTATTCGAGTCGGTGATGAAAAACATGGCAACTTATCCACCTAGCGCCTACTTCTGCATCAAACAAGCTCGTCGAATTTCAAAAAACATTGGTCAACTTACCATTGACAACATCGAGGAATTGATTGGTGGTGAAATGTTGCCTGGTCAAATGTCAATGTTAATCAAGCACATCGAACTCTTCCGATCAGGTGAACTTTTCAAGTGTGTTGCGCAGCAACAAGAAGAAGCCAAAACTCAATTGAATTTGACGGCTGAACGTTTACGCCTAGCACGAGAGACCGAAGAGAACGAAAGGATCAAAAAACAGAAAGCAATTCATGTAGCTGCCGCATTGAAGAGAGCCGAGACAGCTGAAAGAGTGGCTAAAAATGCGGAACGTAAACAAGTTGCAAAGGAGGCAAAGTTTGTAGAAAGTGAAAAGAAACAAGCAAAGCGGGACAGTGACATGGCTATTCTTCAGGAACTCAAAGCTCAAGCACAGGCTGCAAGTGAATTATCCCGGTCTCAAGATGCTGTCAGGCCGACCCCCTCTACCAGTGGAGCAGTCAATGGATCGATTGATCCTTCATTACTTTAAATTTGTTTCATAAAAAAATATCAAAACCAATGTTAGAGCTCTGATGTTGAGCATACAATAATTATAAGGAAATACATATTTAAAATCAATTGTAATTTTGATTGTCATCCTGATGATTGTTATGATTGCTGGGTGAAAGATTGAGTAAGGTAGGTGAGTTTGTAACTGTAAAACCTGCCTCTAGATCCCATGATGGATTAAGTAGAGTAGTAGATGGCCGGAGACGTTTGAGAATTGATCCCCCTTTCAGCTGATCATCTTGCATAACTTCCATTCCCTGTTTCATCACATCCTGACTCTTTACTTTAGCCCTTTTCCTCTTTCTACCAGTCCCTTTACCTTTTTCTGTTGTCGTGTTTGGATCGAATTGCAAAGAATTGGTCCCATCTCCAATTGAATTTGATATAGCCATCCGCAAGAATGAATCGATTGCTTGAAGTGTGATGTGGTGCTTTCTAGATTGATAATAGTCAGAATTGCCGGAATCATCCTTGATTGATCGGATTAACCTTTGAAGCTTCAAAAAAGGAATGGAACAATGTCATTTTGATGTATTCTAGCACAGTTTGAATGGTGGTTGAACTGACCAATGGAACATTGGATGAAAAGACATCTCGCAAGCGTTTCGCACTTGTTCCAACTCCATTATTGTTAAAAAAATACTTGAGCCAGTAATTTTCAGTCTCAAGGAAAAAATTCTTAGCGACAAAGTGATTTGGACGTCCACTTGGTGTGATTAGGAGGGAATGTTGTATTGCGTGGCGGAGGGCAGGGGGGAGGACTTTGGTGATTAGGATTATCATTCTAGGGAGGTGTATTGCGTAGTGAGTTAAACCTGTGATGCCTTGTGCCATCACCAACCATCTTCGCCAGATATTTAACAATCGACCACTCCCGCCTTCATCGATTGATCAGCCTCAACTATTGTAGCAAAATCACGTAATCGAGTCATGAGGTTGAACAATTTGGGAGAATTGAAAGTTTTGGCCTTTTTGAGTTGAGTGCAGCCAAAGAATCGATCATAGCATAAGTTGATAACGTGGTTGATTGATTTTGCTTTCAACTTGATCTTCTCGTTTGGTAAGCTGGTTTGAGGGATTCCCATGACAAGTCTAATTCACAGAAGTTCAAATGTCAGAGGAAAGTGAGAATCAAGAGGATGTAGAGAAAGAACCTTACAGTAAACAATGGATAAGAGTGACCTCGTGAATCTTCTGGATGCTTGTAAGCATAAGAGTGAAGTTGTTTTTTGCGGCTGGTTTTTCTGAGGGAAGTCCAAGGGCTTGAAGAGTCCTCCAGGCACCAAGGTCGTCTTGAGTTTTATTGTTTCCAAAATGCTTGAGATAGATTGCTTGAGCTATATTCCATAGGGTATGAGAAGCCCCCAAAAGCATGAAGATATTTCCAAGGCTATCTTCCTTGTGTCCGCTTGGTTTTCTTTGGCCTCGCAAGCATTCCATGTTTTGGAGAGTACCAAGGTCGCCGTCCACGATCTGCAGCTGTGAGAAAAATTTGTCAGGAGTCAGATTGGTTTGTTTGATGATATCGGTCAAGATTTCGCCAATGCCTTCGGCGCAGTTATCGGATGCCAACATTAGTTCAAACATTTCGATGTCTGGCTTTTGAGCACGTATTTGATCAATCGAAGGTGGCTCGAGTGGAATTGAGCTCTTTGGATTGTCTGTTGTTGCTATGTAAGACATCATAACTTGAGCAATTTGACTTTTGATGGCATTACAAAAGTGAGATTCCTCTTCGAATGTTGGGAGAAACATTGTTGGTGATATCTTGAGGTTAACTGAATCTTTAATTGCCTTCTGGAATTGATTCATTGAGAATTCTTCTGGGTCGGCTTCAAGGATGAGACTGGGATCGAGGGTATGAACATAGCCCCATGTTCCATGGAACATGTGGCTAGTCTTTTCCACTGATTTGAAATGAACGCGCTCCTCAAAGTCGATATTGTCGATGCAGAGTAGGGGCGAGAGAGGTTTTCTTGCAGAGACAGAGAGTTTTTGAGCAATTCTCTTCTTTGCTTGATGACCCAATCGATCGAGAGCTGAGAGTGCTGTTTTCCGCGACATTGTAAGTCCAATGTAGTGAAGGTAGCTGTTGATTCGTTCGGTCACTCCGCAGGCCAAGAATACGACTGAGTTATAGAGCTGCATTGAGTTTGCCCTTCGGTTCTCTCCAAATGATACCATTGCACATACTGTCTTTGCTGTCTGGAATAATAAACAGTAAATAGTCATTAAAATTATCAAGGAAAACAAAAAAAAAACAATTTATGTGTCTGAACAAACCATATGTGCTCGTGTCTCTTGTCTGTTCTTGGATACCTTCCTAATGTGATCGCGTCCAGGCTCAACAGTTGAAGCATCTTCAGTGTTGAATGCTAAATCTACATCGCTATCTTCAGAGTCGATCGAGGTGGATTCATCATCCTCGGAATCGTTGTTTGAACTTTCTTGAGGTTTTTTTTTTATTTGATTCAAAAGCTTTGACGAAATGAGTTCATATAGAAACGGCATGTCTTCTGTCACAAGCTTGGAGTCGCGGTCGTCTTTTGATTGACGAGCAAAAAAATTCTCATGAACCGTTCGCGAGTTATGGTAAGCGCCATTCGGAAATACACCTCGCTTGGGGGATTTGCTGTTGACAAAGGTTTTAGCCTGTCAAACAATGGAATTGATCAGCTCTTATCGAATCCGATCAACATCACATAATGAATCAAAGATAACACTCACCTCCTGTAGAATAAACTCCCTCCATAGGCATCGACTTGCCTTCAATTTCGTTGCAAGTCGCTTGATCGCTTGAATAAGCTCCAACGTTGTTGTCCAGCCCGTCTTGGTTCCCCAGCATCCACGTCGTAAAGCCAAATCGATGTGTTGGTTCGTGAGGAAAGCCAAGATGAATTTCTTCGGAGTCATGTTGAATCGCGAGATGATGTCGCAGACGAATCGGATTTTTTGGTATTTGGTTTTAAATTGAGGTTTGAATGGCCTCCGATTCATCTTGCTTAAGGATCGTAAAAGGTTTTTTTCCAGATTGTTTGACTTGCGAGGTGGAACGAAAAACGACTTCTCCTTTATTGATGAGACACTCTATTACTGGGGTTATGTCCCATGGTTATATGTTCCTTTTTTTTATTAATTAACTTTGCAGATTATAGGTTTAAGGTTTTTGACATACATGGTTGATGGGATCGGTAAGTATTACCCAAAATGATTTTCAGGCTGAAAAATTATAATTTCATTATAAATTCATGTGGTGCGGTATAAGCTCCGAATTTTGGATGTAAGGAGCAGATCACGCAGCACAACAAGAAAATCTAACCAAACACCCTCAAAACTTTGAGGGAAGTCTGTAATTCCAAGAGGTGTGATGCTCCCACCAAAACTCAGAATCTGGGCGTGCCAGTCTGTCGATGTATGGCGCAAGTCTCCCCTGCGGGGAGTTCCCTTCGGGAACCGCCTGGCCAGCGCTACGATGCCAGATGCGCCCGCCGAAGCGAGACTTGTGTCAAGTTCGGGTTTGTAGTCGATGTAGAGGTTTGACAATTTATGTGGCACAGGCTCAGCGCATTCCGTCTTGCCAATTTACCCTCTTCCAAGGATCTGCAATGCAACTCAGCGCCGTCACAACAGGTGGCGAACATGCTCGCAAGACTCAAGTACCAACTGCTGAGCGAGATGGGCATATAAAAGAAAGCTGAAAAAAAAATCCATTGATAGATAACTTAATAGTCTCGAGTTAGACAAGAAGGGCAGTGGATGAGGCTATCAAGAAGATCGGCAGATCATGACCGACAACCAACAAAGAACAAGAGACAAAAGCTCGGAAGGGGGGCTTGCAAGAGATAGAGAGAGAGAGAGTTGTTTAATGGCTGATGGTAGAGTAACCGCCCTTGGACTGGAATTTGAACCCGGTCTTCTCCCAGACGGTCACGTTGATACTGGACTCCTCATGGATCATCTTGTAAATTTCTACGCCGTGCTTCTCCTTGAAGACCGTGCAAATGCTGTCGAAGTGAGAATCCAATTTGGCAAAGACATCTGTTCATGAAAACATGACCCCCCATCCAATGCACAATTTTTCTCAGTATTCCGGTTCAACTTCTTGTATTATATTTTGTGAAGAAACCATTCTTACCAGTGCAGCCGGCTGAAATCTTTGGGTGACTGTAGATCACCGTTAAGACGCTCTGGAACTTGATGAGAACTTTGATGAACTCCTGAGAGTACTTAGTCTACATAAACACAGTCGACAAACAGAATTAGGATCTCATGAAAAATATACCGATCGCAAAGGACGATTGGACTTACGACTACCTCCTTTTGGATGACAATCGACGAGGAAGAACTGAAGGTAAAGGATAGGACTTGGATCGGTTTTTGGACCGTGATCAAGTGAGACTTGACTTTCTCAACTTTGCCCTCCTTGCAAGAGACAACCACGGGTTCCTTGACTTGGGTGATCGCATTCTCGCATTGACTCAAAGAGTCCGCTGGTTTGGCGACCGTCGTAGGCTCGGTGGGAGAACTAATCACAACGGCTTAAAATCAGAAGAAAGATGACAAGAAACAACCCGAATCGTTAGGACTACTACTGTCTCTGATCATCACTTCTTTTTTTTTGGCTCCAGGAGAAATCTCAACCTCACCTGCAAGAGCAACGGTGGCCATCAAGTACTTGAACAACATTTTTCCGGAGTAGGATTTTTTTGTAGGAAGTGTTCGTGTTGGTAGAGATTGTCAATCGGAAGAAAGTCCTCTGGAAAGCTTTGAATGGTTGGAGCCGATGGGGTGAGGATGGGACGAAATGGAGGGAGGAAATGGCCTCCTTTTATGGGCCTCTCGAGACCCGGTGAGCTCTTGATCTGGATGGTGATGATGAGTCCCAAGACTCGACTCTTCCCTGGTGGTCTCTGCCAAAACCATAACCCACACCCACTCGCACCCTCAACTTCTTCTTCGTGTTCCGACACTTTCTTGTATTATTCATCATGACTATATCCTCCTCAACCAAACAGTGCATTTTCCAACTAAACGGAGCTTGATGTTTGCAGCTTCATTCGTGTCCCATTGCCAACAAATTTTAATACTCATCCTTTCTGGCCCTGTGCATATGTATTTGTGTATAACTTGTGGGCCTTTTTTCTCTAGATATCTTACTGGAAATTGAGATCGGACATCCCCTCACAGTTATTTATTAATATGTTTTTTTTTCTTGAGGGAAGTTGACGCATGTAATCTTATCAATTATTGAAGACCCACACTCCTTGAATTGATGGGTGTTTGACGATAAACTATTGAGAAGCCTTGTTGAACATAATATTTATTTAAGTCTCTCTCGATTTTTAAGCCCATCACGGTCTGCACGTATGTATCATTATCAATCAAGCATATTTACTTGCATGGACAGAAAGCTGTGTCGTGTATTATACCATCGAGATCGATTTTTGCTTCTTGAGACATATGAAGACAAGTTGGCTTGCTCAAGTAATTCCCGAGGACTGAAGCCTCTTCGATCGTGATAAATAGATGCAAAGTACCAGTGATATCTCTTTCAGTCGATGGAGGTTGGTGGGCTTGAAGAAAAGTTATTGCAATCTGTTCTTCAGCAGGTCACGCTGGAACAGTCATCTTGACTAATGTTGGAATTTAACAGGGGCGGAGTTTGTCCACCAGAGGTTATTTATTTACAACAAACCTTGATCATCCGAAACCTTTTATGGGCCATCTCGATTCGCACTCCTAGTCAATAACGAAATGCTTTGTTTGTTTTTTGCAACCAGCTGAGATCAATGATTTATCAGATGAATGATGTGACCTTATAGACAAAACTCTTTCTTCAATGTTTCTTGGTTTACTAGGCTACACTAAAAGAGTTCAGGTCCACTGTTTTGCAAGTATTAAAGAGCATACTCAGTGTGGACACTAGAGTGAATTGTGATCAAAGTCCGTCCGAGAGTTTTCAAACTCCGACCAAGACCATTTTTCATGCGACTGGAAACAATTCGTAGGATATCAATGTGCACCAGGTGGAAAGCTTTGGGAGGGGGGCGGGGAAGGAGGGCAAAAATGATACATACAACATATGCCGGTCATGGATGCTTTAACGCTGTGCATGTGGGTCATACGGCTTGTTCATGGATGTCTTTGATGGCGAAAGAAAGCAAGAAATCCGCAGTCACCCATCAGCAACGTGTTCCACCGTATGTACCCTTGGGCCTCGTGCCTTTCTCTCTTTCTGTCTTTCTTGCGTGCTTTTCCGAGCAGAAACTCCGGCTAGTTGATCCCAAAATGGGCCCGATCCGGAGACCGGAACAGAAGCACACTTGTTTCTTGGAAGTTGTTTCGATTGCATGCCGCTGATTGACAACCGTTCGACCTCCAGCAATGAGCTCAAGCTGGCTCCATGCTTGACCACTCGTCATCAGACCGACGGGGCGAGTCCCTCAAGCAAGATTCCTACTCCAGATTTGGAGAACCAAACAAAGAAAGGCCAAAGATTGGAACATATCCTGAAGGGCCATAGGTGTTTCGTAAGGTGAAGTTGACTAAGTCTTTCATCCCTTATTCTCCCGCTCCTCTCATGTTTAGGTCCAAAGAATGCTGTTGAGCTGCGTCATGAGTGGTCATAGGTGTTTTGTGATGCAAGGTTGATCTCGTAGATTTGATCCCCTTCTTCTCACCCCCTCCTAAAATGCCCAGATGACATCCATCATCAATAACGTCTTATGGGGTCTAGAGTGAAGAAACCTCAGCTTTTGGCACTGGTCAGCCCTCAAGAACTTCCAAAAAAATATGTATTCGACTGAAATTGTATCGTGTATGTGTTCATTATTACGGCCTCTCAATCAATTGTCGAGAATCGGAAGTATAATACACATTCAATTTCATCACGTTGACTGTGTTATCAATAAATTGTGCAAGCATTTCTTCTTTCTTTTTGGGGATGAGTGTTAATCAAATGCGAAAAATGCAGAAATCTATTGAGCGGGTATGGAAACAATGATGTGTATGTATTTCATCGGTTAAGTTCTTGTCTCCGCTACTGCTCGTCGTAGATATCACGACTCTTGACTGATCCTTTTTTGCGATTTAACAGCATCTTCGTTGGGAGAAATTTTGACATATAATGGGATGCAGTTTTGGCGCGAAGTTAAGTCGTTTTTGTTTGTTTGTTTATGTTTTTACGATCGCTTTTGCATCATCTCTGCATTATGCTCTGAGAATCTTGCGCCAACTCGTTCGGAATGTTTCAAGAATTTATCCGCACAATTATTTACACAGCTTTCCTGTTAGCAGGCGAAAACCAAGACAAAGAAAGCGAAGGGGGAGATGTTAGTGATCATGTAAGACGTATCAACAAAAAGAAAAAACAATTTAAAATTGATACTTGCCTCTTTGGAAGAGAGTGCACGAGATGTGAAATCCTGACAACAACTCGTGAAACATCTTTCGACTAAGGAAGAATAGAGTTTCAAGAAGTCTTTCATTTGTTTCTGCTCGATCAGCCGATTTAGCTGAGCAGAATCCTGAGAGCTGAGTGACGAGGCGTCCATTTCGTTCGGTCGTTCGACAGATATTTAGTTATCTGAAAAGCGATCGGATGATGTACTGAGTAGTTGACCTCCTGTCGCAAAAACCGAGGACAGATATGATCGTATTAAGTATTGTCAACGGGGCTAGAAAAGGAAGAGCGAGTGTCAGGAACGTCCATCAGATGTATTGAAAAGGGTTGACTGATTCGAAACGACTTACTTGGTACGTGACGACTAAAAATTTCCTTGTTTCTGGTCAGGTCTTGATGTGTGGGTCAATCGACCGAAAACTTTTCAGGACCCCTCCCAACACCCGATGCACACCTGTTCGGGGGTAACCCGCAGGCTACCCGGGCCTGGCCGGGGATGGCGGCGCCCTTCCTCTTTTCATCACTCCACTATTTTACGCCTTCATCCCAAGCTGCTAGGCCTCCACGGCGGGAGCGGTAGTGAACAGCGGAGCTGCCCAAGCCTTAGGGTACAAGTCCTGCCTGGAAGGATTTCAGAATTGGGCTTGAACCCCATTTTTTTGTGTATTTTTCTGTCTATGCTCTTCCTAATCCATGAAAAATTTCAAAGTACTAAGATTGATCACTTTGTTGGAAACACTACTTGAGAAAAATAATGAAAAGAGTATAAAAAAATGAAGATGATTAAATTGATACCTAAGAGCAGGAAGTATGGCCACTTCTCTTAAGATCTATAGAATTAAACTAAAAGATAGAAATTGAAAAATAATCCTCTGCGTGCCATCTTCTAATTCACGCTGATCTGCTAGGGAAACAATCTTCTTTCTCCTGTTTATTCACATTAGTCAGTTTCTTTATTTTGTTTATTCTCTCCTCCTGCTTTTCTTATTCTAGTTAAGACTCACCCCCTTCTTCTCCTTTCTGACCAGTAGAGTTCTTGTCCTCTATTCTACCTTCTTCAGGTAAGTTGAAAAGGTCTGTTGATATGAGTTTTTGTCAGTATTAGTTGTTAAATCTGGAGTAGATTATTATTGAATCTCGCCTTTGGTATTGTCCAATGTTCTCTTCAATAGACTACTTTCTTTGAATTGGTCAATTCAAATTCTTCTTGTTGCTGTGAATTGTGATTGAATCTGCAAGTGATCAAAAAAGATTTCTGCTGTTCAGCCTCAGGAATTTGGACCACAAGCTCTGCATGCATATGTTTACCTTTCTCTGGAGCTGTGGATGATCCCCGCACTGTCAGACACTGAGACACTAGCCCAGGTGTCTACAATAAAAGGTAACCCCCTTGGGTTACATAATAAATATTATCATATGTAATTTTTAAGTTAATAGGTATACAGTTATGTTATTCTCTTTTATATGTATTAGTTATGTTAATAAATGTTTAGTAAATGAATTAAGATTTACCTCTTTATTAATTTACCCCTTTCCTGAAAGTTATATTCAGATTGAAAAGGATAATTATCTCTTATGATTATCAAAGAGATTTATCCTGTGTATCTCTGTTGTAAATACTTATAGTCCTGTTTATCTCTCTTAGGTGTATCTTCTGAAATAAGAGAGATTTTCCTCACATGTACTTTAATCTTCTTGACATTTCTCCCCAAAGAAATAACATAACCTTACGGGGACTGTACCGGTCCTACAAGCAGACTGACCTCTGCCCTGTAATACTTAAGGAGGAAGGCTATCCCTCCAGGATTCCTTCCCCCAGAGATTACCATACGAACCCGCTATCCTTACCTATTTACAACCATTATAATAAGTGAGTGGGGCTTTATAATCTAGTATACTTTACATTACATAGTACTCTATTCCCTTTATTTAGTACTAGTCTGTTACGGTTAACCTTTGTAACTAGACTAGTAACTGTTTTCCTCTTCTCATAAGCCTGGCGCAGCAAAGTTGTTCCGCTGTCGTCCCTTATAACAATAGGGGCTTGGTTAAACGACTCCCAAAAAGTGGAGAGCTGACTCCCAAGCCCCGAAATCCCCGACTTTTGGGAGTCGGACCCCCAAAACCTTCGACTGGTTTGGGAGTCAACTCTCCCAAAAAAAATATTAAAAAAAATAACAATCCCCGGTTGGTTTAGGAGTCGATCCTCCAAAACCAACCAGGGTTTGGGGGTCAATGAAAACAAAAGACCCCCACAGAAGCGGCCGGGAGGATTCTTCCCGGCCGCTCAGATTACACACCGCGATGGCCAAGAGGAATCCTCTCGTCCGTCAAGATTCTGCTCTCAGCGGCCGAGGTGATTTCCTCTCGGCCGCCGAGAATGTACAACGTCAGCCGTTGAGAGCGTACACTCTCAATGGCCGGGAGTGTAAATAGCCGTCGAGAGGGTGTACACCTCAACGGCCAAGTTGGTTTCCCTTGGCTGTTGAGAGTGTAGACGGCCATCGAGAGTCTACACTCTCGACGGCTGAGAGGAATCCTCTCGGCCATCGAGAGTCTACACTCTCGAAGGCTGAGAGGAATCCTCTCGGCCATCGAGAGTCTACACTCTTGACGGCTGAGAGGAATCCTCTCGGCCGTCGAGAGGCCGTTGAGAGTGTATACCCTCAACGGCCAAGAGGAATCCTCTCGGCCATCGAGAGTGTACACTCTTGACGGCTGAGGTGTACATTCTCGACGGCCGAGGGAAATCACCTCGGCCGCTGAGAGCAGAATCTTGACGGCCGAGAGGATTCCTCTCGGCCATCGTGGTGTGTAATCTGAGCGGCCGGGAAGAATCCTCCCGGCCGCTTCTGTGGGGGTCTTTTGTTTCATTGACCCCCAAACCCTGGTTGGTTTTGGAGGATCGACTCCTAAACCAACCGGGGATTGTTATTTTTTTTAATATTTTTTTTTGGGAGAGTCGACTCCCAAACCAGTCGAAGGTTTTGAGGGTCCGACTCCCAAAAGTCGGGGATTTCGGGGCTTGGGAGTCGGCTCTCCACTTTTTGGCAGTCGTTTAACCAAGCCCCTAACAATAAGGAGCAGCCCTTCACATACTCTAGTATATTGAAGAGGTTAATTCCACTACGTTGATTAATCAACAATAGTGCGACCCTTTTCCACTACGTTGTGTAAACAACAATAGTGTGACCCTAATCACCATCAACTCCTAGTCACACAAGAGACGGGAGCTGACACGCACCCTCTTCAGTGCTTCACTGGAGGACTTCCCGTTGTCTAATTTTGTAAACTTACAAGGAAGGGCTAAACCTTATAATTGGCTGGTGAAAATTGTTTGACCTCAAGATTTCACCAGCAAACAAAGTTTAGCCGGTCTGTCTAAATTAAGCCATCTGGTCAACGGGAAGTCCTGCACTTTGTGAATTGCAGATGGCATAAACCAACCCTGCCCTGCCCAAAAAATTCAAAATTGACACTGGTGATCTAGCTAATATTATTAAGGGATGGTCCTGAACCTTGGGATTCCGGGGCTTCCCCGGTTCTGAGCCCCGGGGTTGAGGAATTGGGATGGGCTTCACAAAACCCCAAAACCCCAAAACCCTGGGGTTCATTGTTTACTGGGATTTTCCCTGAATTTTTCTTTGTTTTGGCCCGTATAACAGTTTTTTTTTCACATGTGGGATTCATTGAAAAAGAAAAAAAAAGGTTGCAATGGGCCATCAAAGGCCAAAGAACAAAAGCCAATCCCAACACAGCACTTATGGTTGAGATAGGTAGGTAGTGCTGGGCCGTAGTACCATCATTGTGTTGAGATACCTGTATGTAGTTCTCATATGCTTATAGTCAGATATGCTTCTACTAAGTCTATCCGCTCTACTCTGCCACCGGTACTCTCTGATGAAACTGTGACCGATTAACAGGGAGGAGTTTTCTGAGAAAAGTTTGGACAACAAAAATATATTTGTTGGAACAGCTTAAGTTGGCGAAAAATGAGGGAGAAAGCTGATGATTTTAATTTCTTGTACTAGGCTAGATTAAATAGACTAGATACAAGAGTTCAAGTTGTGGTTGTTGAGAAATGAATAAAGAAACAATAATGAATAAAAAACAGACTGAGAGGAAATTAGATTCAGTGTTGATGAATCATGAGAGAGACATTATTTATTTTATGATAACTCTACTTGATAAACAACAAAAGAAAACAAGAGCCACATTTCTGATGAAGATGTTAGTTTCATCAGATCAATCTCAACACCAGAACTTTAAGAATAATCAGAAGATAAGCATGGAGAAGAAAGAAATTAACAACTAGGGATTCAGGGTTCTTTTGACTACAAGAATTTGATGTTTAATTTTCATGACTTGCTACTAGACAGACTATAAAATTATTAGTAGTTTGGTGAAGTAAAATAAGAAAGAGGTATAAAAGAATTGAGAGGTGAAGGAGATGAAGAAGGGAAGAGTCGAAATTCCAACACTCTCATCCTATCCATTCCTCACTGAAATCTATATTTATGCTCACTCGTCACCTACCCAGTCTGTGAGTACGGTTGCCCTCAGTTTCAGTCACCTGGTGTCCCTCAACACATTGATTCAGGAAAAAAAAAGCAGCAAGCCCCAGGGCTTTGGGGAAGACCCGCAATTCCCGGGGTTTGTTCTTTGGGATGACCCTCTACACTACGGATGCTGGGCTTCAAAACATTTCCAAAGCTTGTTCGGAAATGTTTCAAAAGATGCGCCCGCAGGGGGGGACTTCCTGGACCTTGGTCCAGGTACACTTTGCAATGTGCTCCAAAAGGGATTCCAAGAATATTTCAAAGACCTTCCAATAGGTGTTTGAAAAACTTTTGAAAAAGTTGTGGAATGCCATGATTTTGAAGTCTATTCCAAAGCTTGATTTCGCAATGATTCCGAAATAGTTTTGAAAGATTTTTGTCATGATCAGGGGTGTTTTGAATTTTTTTTTGAACGTGTATGATGCCTGGAGTGGCGATTTGTAAATTGCACTTGGTCAAAAATACCTGTTCCTCTCACTCGCCTGCTGATCCAACACTGGTTTCACTGTAGCATATATGAACTTGTATTTTTGACTGAAGAGTTACTTGAGTAACAACAATGAAACAAGACAAAAGCAAGTGTAGAAGGAGAGAACAAAATAACAGCAGATAGAAGATGACTAAAGAAGACAAAAGATAGCAGACAACAAGCATAAAACACATAAAAGTAAGCAACATGATGAGGAAACAAGATCAAAAATGATGAAGCCAAGCAAAAAAGAGAAGAAGTGTATAAGCAATCAAGCAATTTTTGTTTAGATTGCTTGCTGGTGTGTTTGCTACTTGGCTGGGTCACTTACTGTTGGAGGATAGTTACAAAAAATGGAGAGGAGATGACTTTAAGTGGGGTTGAGTGTGCTTAACAAAAATCACACTGAGGAGAGCTCAAGGAAGTTGTCAGAGGGGGAGACTCAGAGGAGGGGACAATTCAGGATGAAGAAGCAAGAGGCAACCGAGACACCTTTCTCAACAATTGAGCGCTTTAAATACCTTTTCAAAAAAATAATTCACATCGGTCTGGTTCCTCCAACCAAAAAAGTTTCAGAGCACTTTCAACACTCTTTTGAACCGGTTGGAGAAACCGAAGCATGGTTCAAAAGTTTTATGAAAGATTTCAAACCTCCCACCAAAGAACTTCCGGAATAATTTCCGAAGTGTTTTTTTAAAGTTCTGATCCGGCAATATCTGCATAAAACCCAGAATTTCACCAGATCAAAATCTTAAGCAGAAGACTTCAAAATAGTTTTGAAATTTGTTTTTGCAACTTTCATAAAAGTTTCAAACTTTTTACAAAAGCCGCTTCAAAATCTCCAAGTCCATACATTTCGGACATTGTTTCAAAGCAAAACCTTAAAAGCACCCCCGTAGTGTAGCCCCATCCCAAACTCCGGGACCATCCCTCAAATATTATTGCAGTTTTGAACTCCTGCAGATGTGTAGAATTCAAAATTGTAACTGCTAAGCTTTTGCACCTTCTTTTTTTTTGGGGGGGGGGAGGGGTTGCATGCATGTTTTCAGACATGCCTAACAAAAGTCAAACTTGGGACAACTAGGATACCATGATGTAGTTTATTGTACTTCAGACTTTCCTGTCATGCTGCTTATGTATTTGACTGTAATGCCCTACGGAATGTAATTAGCATTTTGAAGACTGTTATAAAGAGCCTAACATTTCTAAAAAAAAGAAACTTGTTTTTCAGCTCACACATCCGGACATCCAAGAAATCCAGGGTTGGTCGGCAAAGCTGCACATGCCTTGGAAGATGGGGCCTTCAGGCTTCCATTCCTGTTTTACCTAACCGCAAATGTGATACTCTTACATAAACCGGTTGCGAAGCGTTCATTCTTCGGGTTATGTAAATGACCTGTGACCGGATCCGGACCTCAACCAGATCCATGACCTTTGACCGGATCCGGACCCACGCAGATGCTCGAATGAGCCCATGATCGCGTCCATCGATGATCGGGTGCAATTCCCACCAGCTCGATCGCCTAACTCTTCTTGTTCCTCTTGTTATTTATGTATGAACTGCTTCAGGTCACCCAACACTAAATCTGAGCCTCAATACCAACAACACATTCGAGCCAAACCCATTCTGTATCCCTCTCTAAGTACTTGGAAGATCCGTGTTACCACTCCAGCTGGAATAGCAGCGACATCATCATGCCACAAGAAGGTAAGTTTGCTTTCTTGATCAGACGATTAGGAGTCCTGACTTCCGAAAACCGTATGAGCAGCTGACACTCAATCCACACACTCCAGATCCAATCCTCGCTGGGTTTACTAATCTGAGCAAGAAATATGGTCTATCGCCAAACGATGGGCGAGGGACGTATGGCCCAAACTCACTTGACAGGGGTTTCTCGGCCCTCTCTATCGACGAAATCGAACCCCAGGAAAATCTGTTGAATAAGGTGGTCCATGGTTACTGTCTACCACAACTCAAGGAGCAAGTTCAGACCCTCTCAAGTGCGCTTGCCCCGTCCGAATTCGCGAAACAGCCGGAGATGATGCGCCAGGTCATCCTACAAACCCAGGCAGCAATCGACAGGATGCTCCATCGAACCCAAACCGTCCTCGGTGACATTTGTCTACCTCCTACCGGACTGATGTCCTCGTTAACTGAGCGAATGGATGACGGGGAATTCAGAAGCGTAAAAGCTTATAGGCTCGACCTTCTGAAACCCAAATTCAATGAAGAAGTACTCTACCACCTCAACCAACTCTTCACTCGGGGCCATACACTCTTTCAACATATTCAACTCGCACCAAACAATCTGAGACCCCAGGAGCTCGATGCATGCTCACCGAGACATAAATTCCTCCAGGACGTAAACCGTGTCACTAGAGGCATCGAGGCAACGATCAGAATCCTAGAATGCTCTGAGCTCGAACTTGCCCAAGAGCAGTGGGTCTTCGAGCTCCCCAAGATCGATGAAATGACCCACGAAATCATGGGCATCATCCATCGCCATCAAACCAGACAAATCAATGCAGAGCCAGCTGCAAGGAGCCCCGTCGACCCACCGGCCATACAACTCGCGAAACTTTCACTGCCATTGATCAAGATCGTCAAGCTTTTCTTCACCAAGATCTCCGTGAATCGAGGCATGAATCGAAAACTGCTCCCGACTCTCAGCAAGATGAGTTCGGGTCATATCCACTGCATAGCTCATTCGCCTGGCAACATCCATGGAGACATCATCCAACTCCTCCTGCTCTTACAACCAGCGGCCGCTGAGAATCGCTTCAACACCGCTACTTGTCAGCAATACATCAAACTCATCAATCAAATCAAAGCCGACATAGATACTCCTTCACTCCATGTCGTCCAATATTGTCTGCCTTTGCTCTCTAACACTCCAGAATTCCAAGCGCGTGCTTATTATATCAGTTGGTTTGCGACTTGGGATACTCTCTTTGATTTAGCTGTTCGTAACTGTAAACGTCGTGCTAAGAAGTTAGACCCCTCCCGACCGGTTAATAATTAGTTCGCCCTTTCTTTCTTCTTCACTTTTGAAGAATTAATAATCGATATCTGTAAAAAAAAGTAATCAATATGACTTCTTGGATAATTCAATATAATAAACAAATCTTGCGCAGTGGTCCAATGGGCCTTTCAGCGGGCCCGTGCTTTGTTCACAGCCCTGGGGCGACTGCCTGGTGATATGTCCCCATGACATATGGTCTTGCAAGCGCGTCTGGGCACAAACCCAAGTCCCGCTTGGCCGATAGCCACCGGGGGTTTGATTTGTGCCCAGAGGGCTTGATCATCCGGAATCTGCGGGGGGCGGGACTTGGCACATACCCAAGTCCCGCTGGGCCGATTTCAAGCCCTGGGCCGATTGGTAGCAGGTGCCCCAGCTCGGCACTGGGCCCCGACTCAGCAGCTGGCACTCTCGGGGGCCGGCATGTTGGCGGGCGTGGCACCCTCGCTTGATTTCGGTCAAGCGAGGCTTTGCTCCGACCCCCGCCAGCTTTGACATGTGCCAAGCGGGGGTTGGGAGGGTGCCACGCGGGCTTTACAGTCGGCCAAGCGTGCTTTAAGATTGGCCCAGCGCGCTTGGCCTGTTTTCGGCCGAAGTTTGGTGTGTGCCCAGACGGGCTTGCAACACCATATTACTTTACTCAGCGCGCCACAAAGGTATCACAGCTTTTGAGCTGAGCGGCGTATGGGCTCCGAGAGTCGCCTCGGGGGTATCCCCTCGCCCCGGGGCTTCGTAATAAAACATTGTACCCTTTGTGCCACCAACACCAGCCCTTCGTTCATATCAAACCAACTCGAATATCCAAAAACATCATGGCCGAAGAACAAGGTAAGTTCTCTTGCTTTTTTTGATCAGACCAACGATTCTTGACCACCATGAACGCCTATTCGCTGACCCTCAGTCAACACACTCCAGATCCAGTCCTCGTCGGCTTCAGCCATCTGATGAATAAATACGAACCAGTGTTCTTTGGGCAATGGAGGGATGAGGAAAACCCTCCCGAAGAAGGGGACTCCTCAGGCCTCTCGGATGATCAAAAACTTAAAACACTTCAAGATCTCTTGGATTCGATGAAGCATAGTCTTCTTCCCCAGCTCAACGACCAACTCACAACGCTCTCAGATTTACTCTTCCCATCCGCCTTCTGGAACCAACCAGAGATCACGCGCAAACTGGTCTTGGAAACTCAGCCAGAGCTCGAGAGGACGATCGATCAGATCAAGGCTACCATCGCTACCCTCTGTCCCCTACCCACCCTCTCCACTTCAACCCGGACGGACGACCAGGATCTCAAAGGGTTGAAATACTACAGGCTCCAACGACTCAAGTCCAAATTTAATGAGGAACTCTTGTACCATCTCAACCAACTCTTTACGCGTGCTTATTTCGTCTTCCAACAAATCCGATGGGTACCGGATCAAGTCAGACCCGAGCAGTTTGACGGATGGCCATGTCGAGAAGAATTTGCCAAGCACGTCCGTCTAGGCTCTCTTACGATCGCCTCCATGGTCCTCATGATAGACTGTTCTGAGCTCGATCTTGTCCAGCAACAATGGGCACCAGAGCTCCAGAACATCGAAGAGACGATGAAAGAGATGGGCGGGTTGATTGCCCGCTCATCCTCCGGTCGACCGAGTCCATTACCGGTCGAATTCGAAAAATTGGGATCCTTCAGCACTCGTCTGCCGGCCAACATACCTCCGAAAACAATGGTGATCCGGCTGGCCCAACTGACGCTTCCGCTGGTCAAGATCAGCCGGCTGCTGTTTGCCAAAGTCTCGCGACCAGATGATGATACAGATCCAGACGGAGGAGGGGAGCGGCTGAATCGCGTAGGACTGCCGTTGTACACCTCGA